ACTTGAGCCATGTGCGAAAGCATCCCAAATCCTACAAATAACAAATCATATAACCCGAATAGGTCATATGCGTGAAACAATAACATACCTGTGACTCATAACCATGTGTCACGTGAAAACCCTTTCCTTGCTAAGCCATGTTCGTGACACTTTGTTTTCTTCTTCCAAACTCAGGATGCTTCTTCTTAAGAGTTGTTGGAAAGCTTGTATCAGGATTATCTATTACTGTTAGAGGACGACTGAGTTTTGTATACCTTAGTTTTGTACAGTATAGTATTCTTTTATTCACCCTTTTTGATTATCGTTGCCAGGTAATAACCATCTTGTTCTTGTAGTTCCACTTCTGGTCGGAGGGTAGGGTGCATGGCATTTATAGAATTATCACTTCAGAATGTAACCAGATGTTAGGAATACCGGAATCCAATACCCAGGAGTCATCCTAAGTAGAGTAACCTCACCTGGAATCAGAATCTCTGGTCTCTAACACCTCCCTCTGGCCTCCTTACGGGGCCCGTATGTCATCATACATATTAATCCCAATTACGTCCTGTAACTATAATACCATGTAATTGAAGGTATCAGATTAACACTGTATACATCACCGCCATCTGTCTAGCCAGATCCTGTTCATAGGATATATGAGAGGTGACCATTGGCTAGGTCTGAGAAGTAGAACAGAGTAAATCTGTCAACTGCTCAAAAGGTTACTAGGCTTCAAAGATGCAATACCTTTGGCCTGGACTGTAGGTAACAGGACGTATCTGCTTAAAGAGATAGTATTGAATGGTAAAGGATCCCAGTAAGAGACCAATACATTCACACCCACCCTACAATATTTAGAAGAGTCTAGAATCCCGAGAAATACTACTATAGAAGTTATTAGACTTCACAGAGTATTGCAACCAAGTTTCAGAATATGTTGTAGTTACAAAGACAACTTCTCATACTACAACAGTGATTGAAATCCTGTTACCTAAAGCAACCAAGAGTTGCCGACTAAGGGAATAATTGTCAATCTGGTAGAATAGCTTCCTGCGAAGTAGTAGGAAGTTCTCCAGAAGACATCTATTGGTTGAGTAAAGAGTTATGGAGGTTTAAAGTCAGGAGACTAAAATAGTCTTGTGATTATGGCTACCTTCGTAAATACAACCCGCAGATGAAACTGATCAGTTTATTAATAACGAAGACAATTGGAGCTAACTCAGTTCAACTTGAGAACTAGGCCACAAGTCTAAAGACTCTAAAGATCAGATAACTACTATTGGGAACAGTATAGTTCTGAGTTTGTTATATCATAATTAGCAAAGAGGGCGTGGTAATTTTCAGGATCTCCAGGTGTTTGCACCTTTCAAGAATATCTAATGTTGCGAGTTATAATCAGAAAAGTATATAGTTGTATAATAAATAGATGTAGTCTACGAACACTCAAACATGGAATATAAATATTGAAGTGCCTCCCAAGCTTTAGACATTATTAAGCAATGGAGAAGAGGCCTTAACAATATAATATTGTTTTACGATTTTATTTTACTTTACCCAATTTACTTCACTCTTAGTAGTCATAAATGAAAGGAGTAAACCTGAGCCTTCCTAGACATTCTCCATCTACAGAAACGAATTTTGATTGGCCTAGACAATTCTAAAGTCTATCAGATTGTCTCAGCCTAACACCAGAGATGCTTCCTGTCTTCATTCGATCCCTATATATTAGTTAAGAGATCTGTGGCTACATCCATGATTCTTTTAACATGTTTCTATTGAGTTGCTGAAGCTCATTTAATTTCCTGTATAACAGATCATTCGTGATAGAGGATTGGAATTGATCCTTGAGGTATTTGAGTACTGTGGTTGCTCTTAGCTTCAGATTTCCACCATATTTCTTATAGCATTAGTGGTAAGCATCCATTGTCTTTCCTTCTCAGAATGATGCTAAGTATATTCCAAATGTAGGTACTTCCATATCTACTTTCTTCAAGGTAAGGTAGTGAGCAAGCATTGTTGCCCATCAATTAAATGCTTTGGGTTTAAGGTTTTTCCTTTCTCCTGTGAACTAGGATAGCAGGTAGAGCTTGAGTCCAGGCATATCAGGTAATTTGAGGTCTTCTTCTTCTTCTTCTGGTCTTGCCCTAAAGTTTCCACCTCCTGAAGGTCTTCCTCCTGTACTAGGCATATCTGATTTGCTACTAGACTCAGAATCATTCAAGGATCTAAAGGTATGTTTCTTTGCTAGCATAGGAGAGAACTCTCCTGGAGGTTGCAGGGCTTCAGTGTTTGCAGGTTCTTCAGACTCTTTAGCAGAGCATCGGGGTTGTTTCTTTCCTGAATAGTCTTTCTGTGGGATCTGCTTCACACTTCTGGTCGTCAATTACTCTATTTTGGTATTGAGACAAAGCCAAATGTACTGTGATTCTGCCACTTCTCTCCGCTAGTGCTCTGAGGTGGATGTTGATAAGTTGATTAAGCCTAAATCTGGTGACAGGCTCTTAACCACTTGCTGAGGTTAAAAAAATGTAACATGTTTACAAGGTGCTATTCACATTATCAGTAATAGGTACGATCATTGGCAGGTAGCCTGCTCTACCAGTGAGGAGGCGAGAGCTGAAAACTAAAGGAGGCTTTAAGGGTGTACTGAGAAAACTATAAAGTAACAGTTCAACTAAGTATATTAAAATACTGTCTGTTGAAGTCTGCTATTTCTATCGTGGAATCTGGCGGTTTTTAAATACACAAATCTGTTCATGTCTAGCATGAACAAAACTATTTAAAGGTATCAAATGATACACTTTGGTAAAATAAATTAAGTATCAAACAATACTTAAAACATAACATAAAACAAAACCAAGTACCAAATGATACTTAAAACAAACCAAGTATCAAAGCGATACTTAAAACAAAACATAAAACAAAACCAATAACCAAGTACCCATACCGGTTACAGGGTCGGGTTGTCTGTTGAACCCTCCACTCACTGGAGGCCATACTGAGAAAAACCTGAGAGATAGTCTTTCAAGGAGGTTTCTTTTGTTTTGGGGTTTTTTATTTTTCAAGAGAATATGGTGTGGATTTTCTTGTTGCCTCCTGCAGATTTCCTTCTTGAACTTGCATGTTAGCTTTTTCGCTGATGGTGAGAGGGATTTTCTTGTGCAGGTGGATTGTTCTTCTTGCTTCACTGGTGACTTGGCTTAGTGTGGGTTCTTGTTTGGGGGTTTGATGTGGGGTTGGTCCCATACCAGAGGGACTTGGAGTAGCTTGTTTTTTCCTAGGCCTGCAGAGGAGGCTTTTGCCCAACATACTTTAGGGTTAAAGCGGGGACCCCTGCATGGTCTCTATTGGAGGTTTGCGCCTATTTAAGGAAATAAATTCTAGGATTTAACAAAAAAAAAAAAAAACACATATTTTTATTATTATTATTTTTTAAAAAACTTTTCCCGCCACGGGGTTTTTTGTGCTCACGGATTAACGCCCACATCCAAGCGCTATTACGATATCCAAGTATAAAGATACACAAACCCACTTAAATTACCACGAAATCCACCAGCCAATACGGTAAGCCAGCGCCCCCTCTAGACTACCGGTACCCTATGATAATTTACCAAACTCACAGCAGGCACGAAGCATCATACCGCTACCGTCCACCCGAAAAGTCGGATTCGCAAAATATATGGCAACGAATCCGCGCTTATCCGATATCTCAGCCCATACAAGCACAAATCCGCGACCCCTATTCTCGGATACTCGTACCGTAATGTCGAAGCACTCTTGAAAAAAGGAACTGCTATTGCATACCATGCACCAGCAGTTCTTTTTAAAACTACGGTATGATACCAGTTGACTTACCTCTTTCTTGCCTGCTTCGAGTACTAAACCTCTCCAATACCGTATGATACCGGTACAGTACAGTACAGTACTCCAACTCAAACCTAGTTTTCCATATAAGTTATACCTACAGCACAGGGGGGGGACCTTCAACCAACTCCCTCCTTCCTCCCTTCCTCCCTTCCACGCTCCATCCATTCACTCACCCTTTCAATGGTAGGAAAAAAAAGGAAAGAAAAAAAAAGGAAAGAAAAAATGCCGTATGATACAAATGCGTTGTTACGAGAAAGCAAGGCTACCCTTGCCTGCGAGCAAAAGCAAGCAGACGATAAACAGGACAATGCTGAAAGAAAGAGAGGGAAGAAAAAACTACGTGGACCTTATCGTCCGGGCAAGCACTCAAGCAAGTAGGTCTCAACTCAACAGTGTAGAGCTGGATGGAAGACGAGTATGGTAGGGTTATGCTGCCGTGCACAAGGCAGCATCATTCAAGTAGCTAAGTGCTCGCACAAGGCTCTGACAATTCGTTCCTGGCGGGAGAGTATATAGCTATTCTTGTATGGGAAGTGTAATCAATTTTTATTATATTGTACCGTGAGTTATATTGTGTGCAGTTTATCAGTATCAGGTACCCGAAAATTTGCTACCAAATTTTGACCACTATGCGTTCGAGGGCTTCCTAGCTACTACCTATATATTGTGCAGATCATCGCCTAGTACTCGTACAAGTGTAGTTCAGGAAGAATAGATAAGGGGAAAATGCAATTTAGATGGGAAAATTTTTGAGATGAATGATACCCCCCAAGAGATACAATACTTTGACACTACCATAGGCAGATACTCGTAGATGGAAGGAGAGAAGCCTCGTCAGCCCATACCGTACAGTACTGTGCCGAGACATACCCAGTGCCACGTTCCTTCTTTCCTTTCTTTTTTTTTCCTCGCATTTCGCACGTTCGCTCTCGCCAAACCAAATACCGGCGTGCCGTGCTTCAAGCTTGAAAAATAAAGGAGACAAGACAAGCACGAGGGAAAGGAGAGAAGGTGGAAAAATAACTCAAATACGGCCCTGTGTTTGATTCAATAAAACAAAAAACCGATCCGGTCTTTAGGGAAAGAGAGAAAGAGAAAGGAAGAACACAAAACCCAAACTACTCCGATGCAAATCTTTTCTTTTCCTTTTTCTAACACCAAGTGAATACCGGATTCCTGGACTTGACGGCCTCTAACCTCTCGACGATGACCTTCCTCTGCGCACTTTCGCTGCCACCAACAGCCGAGTATCCCAAATCGCCTTCTGCATCATCATCGTTGTATACGTTCCGCGGGGGACCTCCGCCAAGGCCACCTGTCAGCGAGAACCTCCGCCTTCGAGGGTCGAGAAGGCCCGGAGCATCCTTCCTCCTAGACGGCCCATTTCGGCTGCCAGCATCGAAGCTCTTGTAATCCAGTCTTTGCGGTCTTGGGGAGCCCGGAGCACCACTACGGATACCTGCGCGTCCTGTTGGTGATTTGGAGACAGCGGGTTCCGCAGGGGACTGAGGTGAACTAGGAATAAGAGCACTTTGTTGATCGCTGAGCTCGCCGCCGTTACTAGATCCAATACTAGTGGTTCTAGATATTCCCAACCTCACGGAACTTGGTATCTCGTAACGTGGCGGCGAGAGCCCTAGTCCTAGTATATCGATCTCTCGAGACAGAGGAGCCGACGAGGCAGCAGCCCCTATATCCATCTCTACCTGTTCGTTGAAACCTCGTTCAAGGTCATGCCCCCGCCGATGTCTAGCATCAGACGTGGTAGGCACACGTAGTGGAACGGCAACCGGAACTTCCATTTCATCATCCTGCGGTTTCGGTCAGCTGTTGTCTAGCTTCCCCAAGCTGCAAGCCCCATGCAGAGATGCAACGTACCCAAACGTGGACCCTCGTTCTCCTCGTCAATTCTAGAGGACCCTGGTCAGGTGTTTTCAAGGTTTCGACTACATTGAACGCCTGACCCTTCAACACTGCGATCTGTTTCTGGAACATTCTCTCCTTGAAGTCTGAGTCTTGCTCAAACAATCGACGAAGTAGGGTTTGTGTTTCCGCCCACCATTTCGCAGATGTCAAGATTGGTAGAAAGTGATCCCTGGTCTTCTGGGAGAAGGGCTGACCGATGAGAGACACCGGGAGGAAGAGCCATCCAAAAGGAAAGCTCCTCCATTGATCAGGATGCTTCCAAGGGAAGGCCAACGAGTTGTCAATGGCACCGATAGTCAACGCAGCGCCGGCACCTGGTTGAGGGGTTTCGGACCTTGAGCTTGCAACCATTGGTTCCTGCACTCGATACATGGGGGATGCGGAACGTACGGTGTTCAACCCAACCGTGCTCGGATCAAGACTACCGTTTTGTGGGGACGAAGACACCCCGTTGAGTTGAGTTGGCTGAGACACCACGGTAACCTCCGATGTCTGCCAATTAACCCTGATCATCCAATTATCCAAACCCCTATCTGTGTTCCGCATAATATAATCTAGAATTACGAGCTTCTCAAGCTCCTCGCGAAAGTTTTGCTGCAGCTGCTCAGTCCATACAAACCGGCGATTATCTGGGTCATCCACTGACAATGGTGTGTGAGACTCTTCGTCAGAGTCATCATCGACAGCGCCACTAGGTCTACATGCAGACACCCAAGGCGCTCGCCTCCTAGGAGCAGAGTCTGTCCGAAACGATGAATTGAACTGGTCCGGCCATGGGTGCTTTCGCAGAAAAACGTTTGCATCTATCCCATGATATCAGCACAGGGACTCCGAGTGTGCAAGCACAAACAAGTGACAAACCCTGAAACCCCTTAAGAAACACTTGGAAACTGCCAACCTTAGATGGCAATGGCTTGTGCTTCTTATAGTAAGCTCGCCGATCCCAGTAGTCATAGTGGAACGATTTGCTTGACAGCTTGACAACATCTGTATAAGGAACAAGAAATGTCTTCAACTGCCGATCCAAAAGGCAAGCCGCAGCTTCAGAGATGTAGCTAAGATTGGGTATCAAGCTGTATCCATATTAGCGGGTAGCTCCAGAGTCGTCAGCTGGGATATATTGCCTACCACGCACGACCGAAAAAGCAAGGGAACCTGCAACCATGGGGCTCAACGCTTAGCAGATACACCCAACCAAATTGCCAACCTGAAGAGTCCAATAGGACTGCGGGGGACTGACAAAGTACGATGAAGCCACTTCATCATTTTAGGATTAAGCTTCCCATAGCTATTGAGAACACTTTTAGCAAATGTGCACAAAAAAACATGAAGCAGGATTGAAACACGTACGGCTCTTCATCCTTTGGTTTGAATACTCCTACAACATTGCCATCACTATCCCGCATAAAGTAGCTTCCGGAGGAGCCCTGCTTGATCAATTTAGGATCGATTCCTTTCCTAATAGCCAGCCTGACGGATTCGACTATCTCCTCGAACTGATCCTGGGTAAACTGAATGTTTTCCGCCACCGGTGACAGGCCCAATGGGCTGGCATCCGTAAGCGGTCTCGTGCCCTCCGGTGGTACAAAGACCGAGTAAACGATTTCCAAAGGTGGATGCTCCTGCTGCGAACGCCCTTTCTTGAACTTGAATTTGTTGGCAATCTCGTGACTCCACCGCTCCAAACGCGCATTGATCGCTTTGATATCAACACCAGAGCTATTACTTCGCAGGCGCTTCATAGATCTGCCATTGTGAGACGGAGTGACAGGCCCATAGGGAGTTGATAGCATAGAGGTGGGTGGACGAGGCTGAACCGTCACAACCCGGCCGGGGTGATCCACGATGGATTCCCGGTCGTCATCATCCGAATCGGAAAGCTGAGCCTCCTGAGCAAGCCTCTCATAGCCGGAGGCAGCAAGGCGTGGCATCAGGGGAGGTTGTTTAAACCGATAGTGATGATGAGGGGGGTGGATAAGGGGGATGATGATAGCTCCTTCGGTTGTTGTGCGTGGGGTTTGGTTTGCGTGGAGGTAGGGGTTGTGTTGGTGGAGATGGGGAGGCAGCATGGTTGGCAGGAGAAGTAGCAACGTAGAAAGGTGAGTTGAGGTAGGGATTACAAGTGATAGGAACAGGGAACAACAAGGAATGGCCGCCGCACCAGGAATGGTATAGTCTGACCAGGCAAATGGTATGGCAAATTACGATTGTACGGTACTCTACAGTATGATACAACAATACAACAACGAAGCCGCAGGCAACGGATTAGTCTACCGTTCCCGCCACTCGGCTTCTGAAGCGTATCCGAAAGTTTCTGTTTCGACGGTAGGATAAAACGCATGCTGTGTGATACTTGTAGCTCCAACACGAAGAGAGGCTTCACGGTCTAGTAGATATTCCGGGATCTAGATGATACAGAACTGTACTCGTGGATGGTTGAGCACAATACCGTAGTAGAGCTGTAGAGCCGCATTACAGAGCCGCTGGCCCCAGTTCCTCCAGTCTTTTTGTAGAGTCCCGGATCGGTATAGGGTGCATTCCGCCGCCAAAGTAAATGCGGCATGGTGAAAAGAAGGTGAATAGAAACATCTTCGGGCTCTCCCGCCAGCCGCCTCGGCAGTTTAGACAACACAGGCGCAGAGCCGCACAATGACGACGTTTCTCACCATTTCACTACACACCCTCTTCGTGAAAAATGAGATCAAAAAATAAAAACCCCCCGCGATTTGCTCTGCAGCGCCCACTTCTTTATTTTTTTTTCTCGTGTGTGGTGTCCTCCTCGATACCCGCGCGCGCGTCTAAGGAAGGAGAAAAAGAAAAGAGAAGAAGAAGAAGAAAAAGATATCGGCTTCTGAAGTTTTTAACCGCTGGGTCGGTTCCTAACGGTTCTTTTAAAATAGATCTCACCAAACACAATCAATCACTATGCAGTACCCCCCCAAGAGCATCCCCAAAACAGTATCTCCGCAGGTTGGCGAGAATCACAACCATCACCTCAACCCTTATTGAGGCAACCTTCTCCGGAATAAGGCTATGGGCAGTAACGTATAGGTACCGTAGACCTATTCCCGGCGAATTCTTCGAAGTCCGACTTCCCATGCATTAAACCAAGATAGGCGAGAAAACCTCTTGTCTCTGAAACTTCTCGTCAATCTGGGGGACACGCTTGGCGTTTAAAAATTTACCCAAGAGGTCAAACTGGCAAAAATTGCCGATGTCCCCAATTGTGCTGGGGCGCGGTCCCGTACCCGTACGGTTGTTGGCCCCTTCTCCTTCCTTCTTTTTCAGTGTGAAGGGGCGCCGGCATTACTTGTCGACAATTATTATTATATTGTGGAAATCAATCACAAATGAGTGGTTAGTCACTGTATTCCGATACTTCATAGTCTCAACCAGTATTTTTTGATGGATTTTTACAATGCTATTATTATTTTCTCTCTCTCTCTCTCTCTTTATCTGAGAGCTCCTCTCTCCCCCCCTGTTCCCCTCGTCCGCCAACGATCCACCATCGGCGGATAATCTTATCGTACCGCAGAGCTTCCAAGCTCCCGGGAACGGGCGGTCGGCTCAGCCCACCAAAAAGTCACCGACGTGATATTTAATTATGAGCTTGTGTGTGTGAATGTGTGTGTGGCTGCTGGCTGTGATGCAACCAGAAGGTGAGCTGCATGCTTCTAGAAGAATGATGGAAGACTCCTTGTTCGCTTGGCGTGATCCTAAATTGGAACAGTGGGCATGCCGACTGCGCTCACTCCCAATTCAGAATGTGATCACCCAACGCTATCGGAGAATCTCACGGATTCTCACTTATCAGAAGCGATGCTAATCCTAATCGTTTACCGTACAGTACTGTAGTTGGCGGGAAAGGAACAAGGGGAGCTGAGGAGGCACGAAACAAAAAAGGGGTAAGGCAATCGTCCAAAATCGTACAATTGTTATGGGGGCAACCCCACCATCACCGCACCAAAATATGCGTGTCAGCAAATTCCCCTTATATCCATGTTCGTCATGCCGCTTATCTCGAGTTCGGGCCGGGCGTGGCTCGGAGAAGACATGTCGTTGTACTTGCAGACCTTATGTATGATGCATAGTGCCAAGTACCTGGCTGTATTTTCGGGATTATCTGGAGCCCGGTGCTAATTTTATCGAAGTACATTTTCCCCAACTGTTCGGTACCAGATGCTGTGGATAGGCAGTGGACTCGGTGCTTCTTCCCTTACTGCTTTGCCGCGGTTGCTGCAGGCTGGGGTATGAGTGCTGGTGCTGAGTGCTGGTGCGCAGCACAGCAGCGAGTGAGAGAATTTGAATTGGTGAAGAGACATGGTGAGGGGTTCTGTGAGGGATATTGAGAGTGACAAATACGACTAGAGAGTAAAGGGGAGAGAAGGGCGGTAGAGGAATGAAAAAGGTCTTAGATTGAATGGCATATACTTGTAGAGTAGAGAGAACACGCAGGCGCAGGGAAGTGTGTCTCTGTATGTGTCTATCGTTAGCCAGGAGAAAAGGGGGATCAATTGATGAGCCCCAACGAGTAGCAAGTGAATGGGCGAAGTAGAGAGTGGACAACGGGAATAACGATAACGATAAACTGTGATGCTAATGGCCAGAATTTATTGTGTAGATGTCAAATCCCGTAAGTATGATGTATCGGATGCCAGGGACATCGAGTGATGGGAAGGAATGAGGGGGGGGACTGCGAGCAGAGTTTGAAAAAGACGGTTAGACCCACAACTCTCTCGCCCCCATTGAAGCAGGGCAGGAAGTGCGGTGGGGAGATCTGGTTCATCGAATAGTAATGATCGTAATTTGGCATCCGCCTCCACAAAGCACTAGAGAAAGGCGAGTGGATGAGAGTGTGGGTGTTATTCTGTTTTTCCCTCCTTCTTTTTCTTTCCTTCTATGGTGTGTGTATCTGCACTTATCAAAGAAGCATTTTTTCTCTCACAGATCCGGGCTTATCTACTGCCTGCGCACCACCCCCTTTCCACTCTTTCGTTGTTTCTTTCCTCCTTCCATCCTCATTCCTTGCAGCCCTCGATCTGTAACCGCGCTCCACAAAAAGAAACCCAGTCCACCACCACTCACTTATCCTTCATCCTTCCACTCCTTTCCCCCTCGAGCACCTTCTTAGTATTTTTTTGACTTTTATCGTTGGTTACGGTATTATATTCCTACTGTATTTGTTTTTCCTTCAAGTATCCCACATCCCCCCTCTCCGGCACCAGCAATCCATCAACACAGCCTCTCCTTTTTTCATTATCGAAATATCGCTCTCGTTTTCTACTCCCATCCTCATATATTACTCGTTCGCTTTTATCTACCCACCACTTTTGAACTTATTCGTCTCCCTGCCTCCCCCCATCCACTCCCACATTCAAAAACAAAACCCCTTCCAAATATCCCTTCTTCTCACTTACACACACTCCCCCCACACATAATCGTACTCAGTAATTATTATCTTCCTCGCCTGTCCTCTGATCCTATCGCTCACTCATAAACACTCACTCACCTCTCACTCAAACCCTCTTCCTACACCCCCTCCCCCCCATCATCCTTTTATCACCTGCTCTGCTTCTACAAAGCAGGCCTCGGTGCTAGAATAATCATAAGCTGGCTCCCACGGCTCTTTTCTATTCTCCTGCTCCGGAGCGGCTCCCATCTCCACATCATCTTCTTCATCCCACATCTGGCAGTGACGAAACAATCCTTCCTTCCATCTCACGGACTCCATCTAGATCCCCATTGCCATCTCTCAACAACACGCTGGCTTCCGTCGCTCTCCCGTCTCCCCCGTTGCGGTAGGTTGCCAACCCCCCCCCCGGTATTTAAACTTTTCGCCTTTTCCCGCTCGTGTTATCAACCCGAACTTTCCTTATCTCCACGCGAGTCACTTTTCCCCCCAAAGATCTCCTTTACTGACGTCCAACTCAATTATGGATAGGATTAACGGGGGTTTTCCAATGACTTTCGCAACTTCATCACCAGGGGCGAGTACTGCTGGCCAGGGGACTACTCCTGTATGTGTTTTCTTCTGCTTTTTTCATACCCTGTTGACACGCGACTTTTTTTTCTCCCCTCCTAATTTTTTTCTTCGCTTATCGCGTATGTCCTAACACAATGTAATAGCCCATCTGTCAAAATTGCACAACGTCAACAACTCCATTATGGCGACGGGATGAAAGTGGATCAGTTCTCTGTAATGCATGCGGTCTATTCCTCAAGCTTCACGGCAAGGCACGACCCATTAGCTTGAAGACGGATGTTATCAAAAGTCGAAACCGTGTGAAGAATTCCGGTCAGCCGGCCAAGAAGAAAGTCGGTCATATCTGTTACCTCATGGTTGCCGTTGTCTAACCCAGATCTTTTGCAGAGTCTATTCGATTCACCCAATGGATCGGCAAATAACCACTCAGCAGCCCGGTCAGAAAATGGGACACCCCCACCCGGGCACCGCAAACCATCTTCAGGTACCGCTTCGAATAGATCAGTATCTCCCCAATCCCGGGCCGGAACTCCTCTACCACCACCATCGCATATGGCACCATCGATATTTGAATCTCTTCACCAAGCTGAAAACTCAATGGTTGGTAGCCCCTCAACACTACCAGCCATAAACACCCTGAATCATCCATCGCCAGGATCCACATCTTCGCTCCACGATCGGCACTTGGAGAACCCGGCACTGACTCTTGATTGTCTGATCAGTGCTAATAATAAACTCAAGACTCGTGTGGCCGAATTGGAATTGGTGAACGATCTATTTCGAGGCCGAGTGAGCGAACTCGAGACTAGCGAAGCCAATGCCCGGCGAGCGGAAATCACACGAAGAGAAGTCGAGGCGCAGTTACGGTTGTGCTTGGATGCCAGCGCTAAGCGCGAGGAAGAGCTCAAGAGGAAATTAGACGATGCTGAGAGGGAGCTTACCGACCTGCGTGGCGATCAGCAACGGAAAAAGGTCAGAGTCTCTGACCTGACTGAATGAAAAATCATTCCGAAGGGTGAACAAAACAATCACGGACAAAAGAGGAGGAGCAAAAAAAATTAAATTTAAAAGTTAATATGGTTTGCATGAGCCTTATTCCTAAATACTGACGGGCGATTTTGTTACATGTCCTGCGACTTTTTGCCTTTTATTTTACATTTTTCGCTTTATACATCCATGGTTGAGATTTTTCAATCTCCCTTGACCATTCTGACAAAAGCAAAAGATAAAAAAGTTTTTCTCGCTCTGGGGCTTTCTGGTATGGTCACAGGCTAAGAGAATAGAAAAAAAGAAAAAAAAAAAAGAAAGGGAATGAGCTTTTGTGGGAGTATTAGGGTTTTGGCTGTCTATTTTTGTTTTTCTTTCCTTTCGTTTTTTCCTTTATCTCACTTCCGCCCCCCCCCCTTTATCTCTCTCTACTCGAGCACTTTCCTCCTTATTTATCTCCCTCGACACCACACCTTTTAATCTAATTTCATCATTTCTTATCGCTTGCTAACTAACTAACTTACCTTAACGCTGATGGTCTTCAGTTCCTCTTATTTTTTATCTTTCGTTTCTTATCCCCATCCCCATCGTCATCATCGTCATCGTCATCATCATCAGCATTTTTTCTTTCCTTTCCCGTCACTCATTCATTTATTTGCATTTTCACAGTTATATGGACGGATGGACGCTAAACTTCGCGTGGTGGGCCTAGTTTTTCTCACTCTTTTCTCATATCATCCAGTTTACAAAAAAGTTGGCGGGGTTCTTTTTTTCTTTCCTTTTTCCTTTTCACTCTTTTCTAAGACGAAGATTACTTACCTATTGTAACTCTACTCATAATAACTAACTTTTGGATCTGATTGATTATATTTTTATTATTATATTTTTTTTTTTTTTTGTTCTATGCTTGTTCTGTCTCTTCTGGTCTTGTGTGTGATAGAGCTCCTTTTTTTTTCCTTCAATTGGAATGAATAGATACCGGTAGATAGAGATACCCTGTCATATCATATCATATCAACCGGCTGGGGCTTGTTTTGTTTATCGGATGGGATGAATACCGTGTCGTACCGAGGGAAGCAAGGATAGACGGGGGCTGGTTCACGGGTAATCGTAATCGGAAATCAGGATCCTATTATTGCCGGTAGGTTGATATTTTTGATCGATTTCCTTCGGGAAGTGGTATGGTTTTTCCCTCTTTTTTTTTCCCTTGCACATTACCAATTCGAGTACCGGCGCCTTATGGAATTTATTCGTGCTGCACTACTTGGCAGTTCAGTTATGTTGTTGGAGGAGGGAGTACCGGTATGAAATATGATACCGGCATGATAAGGGGCTTAGGTTGGTGGATAGACTTACTCGTAGACAGTACTCGTGGTTAACTTATCGTAGACAGGCTAGACCGTGGAGGTGTCTAATTCAGGTAGCGCACGCCGCCGCCGCCGCCGCCATAGCTTAAGTTAACTCGAGTACCGGTACCGGTATGATACTCCTCAAAAAGTCTTGTCCTCGCTCGAGCACGATGGGCACAAACAACCACTCTACCACATACCTCCTCGCCTGCAAGAGTCGCACTCACTCACTTCTTACAACCATCTCCCATAGATACTACTACCACTTACCACTTACCATAGTTTCTATGGATATTCTATTTAGGAGCGATATCAACAACAACCATCCTACCGGTACTGGTACGGTTATCGTAGGCTGCCAAAGTAGAGTAGAGTACCGGTAATTGCCCTTGTTATTACCACTGGCGCCTATAGACTACTAGAACAAACTTCTGTTTGTTTGATCTTGGCGAGTAAGTAATACGAGTAGTCTAGTGGTCGTCGTCATCCCGAAATTTCCCATTCCACGACGACACACCCTTACGGTAGGCGCGCGTGTGTCGAACGGACGGCATTTTTGTACATTTAGGCAGGTATCGTATCGTGGGGTACCTAAACTGTCTGGGGGGGGGGGGGGATGTTCTTGGGGATTCTATATATAAAAGTTTTTTTGGGGGCATAACTTGCATAAGTTTGCCCTGGTATGTTCAGCTTCCCATGGGAGGCGGGGGGGGGGCGTTCCTCGAGTGGTCAGTCGGTCGGTCGGTTGGTTTTTTTTGGTCAGGGGTGGTGCAGTGCTGGTGTACTCGACTCGAGTACAGTACAGTGTTAGTATAATATAATGTTGTAAAATGTTTGGATTGAATAGGTAGCATTTTGCGGTCCTACGGAGAGAGGGGGGGGGCTTGGGTGGACTACTGCGAACGCCTGTGTTTGTAGAGTGGGTTTAAAAGAGTGGGGGGGGACTTGGGGGAAAACAGTGTTCATTGCATGAGTGGAAGGGTTTGTACTGTTATCCGCAATTCATGTCCATTCTCACCCGGCAACGGTGCTTTATCATGGTTTATCTACAGGGTCACGGTCTTCCTACGCATAATAGCGGTGGTACTGGCAATGGGTATGGTTCGAACCGCGCAATTGTATGGGTACAGTACAAGTTACAGGCATTTATGATACTTGTAGATCAGTATTACAATTACAAATGTCCCTGCCCTCGTGTCTATTCGGGTACCGGTACTTGTATCATACGGTACAAGTAGGAGAGTAAAAAATAAACAGGGGGGAAGAATGGGGGAAGGAAAAAAAAGAAGCAAAAAATACTTCGCACAACTCGACTTCTGCAATTGGTACTCAAAATGTTGTCTAATTCACACGAGATTGGAATCTTTGCGGGGGATAGGAAAAACTTTAGATGCCGTAGAGGAGGAAAATGAAGGCGAGTTCATTTTTTTTGCGGTGGTGTCGAGTGTTTACGACAATAACCTCAGCCTACTTCAAGCAGAATGAGTGCTGATACTCGCATATCCCGACCGCCTGCGATGGCGTTGGATGGTCCCCAGCGCGGTAACAAGGCCTAACAATGCAGCCCCGAGCGTAATCCAATAACTGCTACGGTAACACTCAAGGCCGAGATTACATTCACGAGGACCCTCGGGGGTGATAACGCTGTGGTCATCATATACCCGACCTATTATAAAATCAGTCAGCCGACGAACTTTTCTTTTTCTTTTTTCCTTCCACCACCCTTCTATGTTTCAGCCGCAAATTTGGGTGAATGATGAGATAACGTGGCGGGTTCTCGAGGAAGAAAAACTTTGCCACTTGCTTGAGATAAGCTGATATGCATTTCTGCTGCGGCGATCTTTTTTTTCCCACTCGTCGGAATTTTGCTTCTGACGTATGATGGTGTGAGGATGTCCGGTACCGGGTGTATGATATTTTTTTTGGCACAGCAGGGCTTGCGTTGTTACACTGCCAGGGAAAGAGGAGAAAAAAATCGGACGAAAAAGTGACGTGCTCACCGTAGAAAATATTAAAGATTTGGCCCGAAATCACTGCTGACACTGTCATCGTCCCCCAGTTTTGCGATAGGCCATGTAGGCCAAATTCTTCCGAAATCTGGAGCCAAGCCTCCATCAGTCCAATCTCTTGCTGGTGGGGTCGGGGCTTTTCGGCAAGCCGTTCCGGGACCCGCGTCGTTCTCCAATTGACGGGGAGGGGAATGAAAGAGGATGTACCACGCGGATCAAGGTTACAGAACCTCGGAAGAGAAGGGAAGAATATATGTACGAAAAAGGGCTGAGCATGTGCGTTTAGGGATCAATTTACTCACTATTGTTGGATAAACACCAAACAGAACACCGTATCCAAGACCACTCAACGAAGAGACCAACCAAAGCCAATTGGGGTTCTCAACGGTTAACGCACACAATTGTGCCAGTGAAAATATGCTCGCCGACGCTACAATCAACCAAAGGCGCTGGAGTCCGTACTTCCGGTGGATTATATCAGAAGATACCCCTATTCGCTCCGAAACACGCACGTTAGTAATTATTTTGCTGGGGCGGAGTACAGAGAGAATTCCAGGCGCATTGGATCATACCACTGAGCATACGACCACAAAAGCTACATAGCGAAAGTATGGAGACATGCAGAGACTGTTGCCCCTGGACATAATCTGGGTGCTCGTCAGGCGCAAATTTCGCCCACAATGCTTGAACCTGCAAGTTCTATTAGTCTTAAATTAGAGAAATATTGTAATGTCCTGCATACGGAGTGTCCGATATTGCTGCAGAAGACGTCAGAGACCCGAAACTGCTATTGAGGGGTTGGGAGGGGTCTGGACATACTTTATAGTCATCAGACCAGTTCCAGTGAGAAGCCCTAGGAGAGAAAATAATAGCCAGAATTCAGGCTTGTAGGCCAAAGCCCAGCCACGAATATCTATATGAATGTCACTATTGCCAACAGCTTGTCCGTAATTACTCTCTGCATCCACTCGATTTTCCTCACTTCCACCACTCGAAGAAGATTTCGTGAGGAATGAAGAGCTTTCATCTGGCATGGGATCCGGATTCGCTACCGCGACGATTGTATCATGACTGGTGGTGCTCGTACCTGGTTCAACATAGGAACTCATCACTGGCGAGTGTCGGTCTTCACCGGATTTTGTCCGGCGAAGTCTGTTACCTCTTGGAATATCCAGAGGGGGTATTGCAGAGTATGCCCTTGGGACAGGAATGACACGGAGGAAAAAGAAGGATATAAAAACGATGCTACTGGTTGCCAGGCAAAGGACAAGCAGGAAGTCGCTGGTGTTCCCCGGGAATAGCCATGAAGAGATGAACGAAAAGAAGAAGGCACTGAGACCAAAAGCCGCCAAGGGCAGAGCCGTTGCTGTCCCTCGATTCTGTGGGAAATTGAGAGCAGCTTGAGTGGGGTCAATTAAAGTGGCTTATCATTGACATTTTAAGGGTTAGGGTTTGATCGTACCAGCTTTCATGGCTCCACCAAAGGCGCAACAACTCCCGACACCTGTGAGTGCGGAGAAAAAGCACAACGCGAAGACGTTCGTCGATCCCTTCCCACCCTCCATGGCTAGGAAGGATTAGATCATGCCTGGCCACTCTGGAGGGATTAGGGTTAGGTCATTCACCTAGATACATTGGATAATACCCAATCAGCAATGCCGCAGCACCTATGAGAAGAGGCAGCCGGGGCCCTTTAGAGTCCACTAGAATTCCACTTGGTATCCCTGTTACGTACGATAAATCGAGTAAGTAATTCGTCAAGAAAGCCAAAGTCACGGGAGTCAAGATCGAACCCGAAAGGTACATTCCTGCATTCGGTAGAAAAATCAGTTAAAAATTTCTAGGATCTTTGTTATTGGATTTAACCTAAATTCCCAAATGTTCCCTGTATATCCAGTTAGAACTGATTCCAGGAAAGGCAGCTTTGAGGGTTGTTAAAAAGGGTCTAACAATCAAATTACTCTCCGTCGCAGTGAGGTGGAGCCTAGTGGCTAGTTGGGGGGCATAGGCCGAATAGACATACTATGCAGCTCGGATTAGTGAGGTATTGTGGCAGGAGGGTCAGGGGCGTTTGGGTATCAAACATTTGTCCCACAGGCTAGTGAAATACATGTCGAGGCAGCTAAGCTCACGAAGCGGGCAATACGCAAGTGCCTCTCCGGCATTCTACCGGTATAGAGATGCTACAATTCTGTAGCGCGAGACTCCCCGAAGATAACGACCGATAGCTCACGAAGTTAGAGGGCGTCTGGAAAAGAATAAGGTAGTGGGGAGAGTATAAGCGCAGGATCAGGGTATTAGCGACAGCTTCAACCGCATCTAAGTTAGGGAGTTGGAGTGTTTGGTGAGGAAGATTGTGTTGGAGCCGGCGATGGATTAGAGCTTCATTTTTCCCTCCCGGAAAAACGACGAACGAATGTGACAGATGAATAGATAATGCCGTATTGCGCAATTACACTGTTTCAGATGTGTTGATCCCGGGGAGGAAATGATAATAAGCGGAAATGTCAAGGGTACCGGCAGTATCTCTTTTCTATAGAGTGGGGGGGAGGGAAGAGGTGAATGATCAGAGAATGATCAGAGGGTTCATTCACGGGACCTTTTTCTGTGACTAGGACGACGGGAGTGTTTGGGGGATGATGAGGGACGGAAAAGAGTCGAGGGAAGAGAGAAATGCCGGCGGTTTAGTTTGTGGCATTCAGCTACCGGTGAGAAGCGTGATATGTGTTACTGTACGAGTAGACACTTGGATAACTCATGTCAGGGCAACGCGGTTAAGGATCTTCGCAGCTGATGGAACCGGGACCAACGAAGAGCCCCAAACTGGCGCCAATCTTATCTGAGACACCGTACGAGTAGGAACTCGAACAATAGGGAAGTTTTGCATGCAGAATAAGATAACGACAACGACCGAGCCTTGGCACTGAGGCTGGGGCTGGTAGTTCTCTAATTCCAAGTGACGGAAGTAAATATAATAAATTCTCTAACTAGAGGGAAGCATTCCATCAGGCTCTCTATCCCAAGGCATTACGTTCCATGAGGTAAGCTAACCCAACTCAAAAAACAACAAACCAACAAAACAATGAAAACAATCAAAACAGAATTTCAATTATAAACCTTTAGGGCACAGTCCTGCTGCAGTACATCTCCCCTCTCTTTTCCAATCCTTTCTCCCACCACACATCATTCGCCATTCTCATCCTGTATTCCCTCTCTGTCCTCCAATGCTTCCTTCTTGCCCCCTGAGACTGGTACATCCCTTTGCAATACATACAAGCTCCGGCCCCTTTAGCCCAACAAATCTCTGTCCACTTCAATGCAATTTAATACCTCCTCTCCTTACTCATCCAGTTCCACTCCTCCCACATCCTTCTCCAATAATCCTCCGCCACCGCCTCACCACAATCCCTCTGTTTCCCCAAGTGTGCTCTCAGCCCTGACCTGTCTGGCCTCTTATTGCTTCCTCCATTGAATTCCCCTAAGCAAATATTGCACCTGGCCTTGTTCCTGTCCACAAAAAAGAATCTCCCTTTATCCATTCCCTCCTCCAACATGCACTTCCCCCATGGGACTTGTTGCATTTCCTGCACAACTCTCTTTCTATCGGCACCACCACATCTATCTCATTCCTCTCCACCATTAACGTGTGGTCAAATGGGTTCCCATATTTTACCCTCGTTCCCAACTCATTCGGGACACTTAATGGTATTCCCATTCTGAGGTATTCGTGCCTCACCCACCACCTCTTCCACTTCTTAATGTGCTCATCCTTGTATAAGGTCTACCTCTTCTGTCTTTCATCCGTGTACTTTTCGCATTCCACTGTGTGGAATCGTACATCGTACTCCTCACATTCCTGGTGGTCCCCTTCCAACCTCCCTTGCCTTATTTTCATGAGCACATATCCATCCAGTCTTGTCAACCCCCGGAGATGTTTCTTCCCTCCTAGTCCCCGCTCATAGTAATAGTGGTCCTCCTCTTTGTACTACTCCTCCTATTCCTCCTTCTTCATCCCCTTTCTCACTGTCCCTTCACCCGTCCTAAACTCCATCCCCTCTCAGAGTCTTGGTATTACCCTTACCCCTACCACCCCTTTGGCAACCTCATCTGCCACCTCATTGCAGTATATTCCCGCGTGCCCAAGTATTCACATGAATTCCACCTTCTCCATGCCTCTCTCTGTCCTTGCAAGGGTTCCCCATATCCCTGCTATATCATCCTCCTCCTCCATCCCTCTCAGTGCTTGCAGGACTCCTCTCAAGTCCGAAATCACGGCAATTTCCCTCTTCCCCATGCATTTCGCCTTCCTCACCATG